AAAGTTAACCAAAACAACATTTTTGCCCTTTTACAGTGACTGGGAGAGTGACCACCAAAGTCGACGTCTTCAGCTTTGGTGTCATCCTGATGGAGCTCATCACTGGCAGGAAGGCCCTAGACGAGACCCAGCCTGAAGAGAGTGTCCATCTTGTCACGTGGTTCAAGCGAATGCACCTCAACAAGGAGGCCTTCCGTAAGGCTGTGGACCCAGCCATCGACCTCGATGACGACACCCTGTCAAGCATCGGCACTGTTGCTGAGCTGGCAGGCCACTGCTGTGCGCGCGAACCCTACCAGAGGCCCGACATGGGTCACGCGGTCAATGTGCTCTCCTCTCTGGTCGAGCTTTGGAAACCGTCGTCTGAACCGGGGCCCGAGGACATTTACGGAATTGACCTCGAGATGTCTTTGCCCCAGGCGCTAAAGAAGTGGCAGGCATTCGAGGGGCGGACCCACGCAGACTCGTCTTCCTCGTCTTATCTGCCGAGCATGGACAATACTCAGACAAGCATACCAACGAGGCCGTACGGGTTTGCCGAGTCCTTCACCTCAGCTGATGGCAGGTGAGAGGGGGAAAGTTTCTGATGGTGTGACTGGATTTTTTTTTTTTTTTTGTNTTTTTGTTAATTCGGATGTTGATTACTTGATTGGGTGAACTTTGTTCCTTTAGTGTAGCTTAATTTGAGGTTGGTGTTTTCTTAAGGTTGAAGGTTTTGGAAGCCTTATGACAGATAGGCTTGATCAGATTGAAAATTTTCTATCTGTAGCTTTTGATTATGTTGGTGTATATACTTGTATCAACCTGGACGGACGTTCAGTTTGACTTGTGGGCTTAATGAATTATTAAGACCATTTTGGATGTGTGGAATCATTTTTTGGTTGGGTTGATATGGGATTGGAATGTGAAGTAAAAAGGCTAAAGTGTGCTTGATCCACTTTTGATGTGTTGGATATATTCTGTTAGTCATAACTTTAACTGCATTTTTTTGAGAGCCTTTATAATGTTGTGGTTTGTGTGCCTAGTTGGTAGCGGTAGGGATACTTTGTCACACTTTTTGTGAGAACATTCATACCTAATGTTTTGTTCCAAGCTTCAGAAGTCGTTTACTCAAATCAATCAAAATTCGTAATAACAAGAATAACGGCTGTCGTGTTAGGTGGCGGAATAATAATCTTTTTACATACGTACTGATGTGCATTTCCTTTACGAACCGCTCTTTCAGTGACTTTGAATCTTTTTTACCTATCTTGTAAAATATACCGAGAGTGTTCTCGTCGTTAGACCTCCGATGATCAAGTCTGTTCAAATTATGGAAGAGGATAAAATATGTAAGTATATTGTAAACTACCAGTTTGGTTATGAAGCCAACAGTTGGCTCCATAGTGGAGCCAATATTCTATAAACAACAAGTAAATTATATCATATTCTCTGATTGTTTAAATAAATACTAATAATTTTATTAATATGGTATGTTTTACTTATTGTATATAGAAGGTTGGCTCCACTAGGGAGCCAACTGTGGACTTCGTAGCAAAACTGTGTAAACTAGAGAGTAATCACTTACCCTTTATACTTGACCTATGTATAGTAAATCACTAAATCCGTGCCTAATTACCCAAGATCTGCCCGATCTTCCTGCCAAGGTGCCCTGGCAGCCCTTTATCTTACTGCCCTCAAAGTTTTTCCGAGGCCCAATCTTATCTCTAAGGTGATCTAGATTCTTCCTAGATAACCCTCCACGGCACCAATAAAGTGGGTCATGCCTAGGTCCTTGATGTACACTATGTAGGTCACCTATATATATTAGGTGAGCACAAAGTTCGGTTAACCTAGCCGAACTGACCGAAACCGAAAATTTGGTTTAGACCGAAACCATCTGATTTGATTTTCGGTTTACATTTTTTTTAATATTTTGGTTTTTGGTTCGGTTTGTATAATAGTGATCGGTCTCCTCTCGGTCTCAAGTCAATCACAAATATGCATAAATACGGGCCCTATATTCACACAATTCATATAAGCACAAGAAATTGATAAACGAATGATAAACCAGAATGAATAAATAAAATCACTTCATAAAATAATCCGAGTACTCACAAATCCTAGAATCCCTAAAAGGTTTAGCTACTAAACATATTCTCAAAACTCAAAATAAATAAATCCATGAGTTCAATGAAGAAGAAAAAGAGAAAATAAAGAAGAACTATTGTCGCCGTTAGTTCCCGAATCTTCAATCTTGACTTCCTCGAATCCCTCGTGTGTTTCGTGCTTTCTCTAGGCCTCCAATGGTGTCAAAAGTCCCAAAAACGAGTTCCTAAGGTCTGTTTTATACTGTAGGGCAATTCTGGGTCGAAAAAGGGAAGAAATCGCACAAGAATCCTATTCCCCGCTGATTTGGTCTGCGCGTCACACGAGTCGTGTCACATGCCACATGAGTCGTGTGACTTTTCTCCAATTTTCGCCAAACTTCCAGACTCACACGACCACCCACACGACCGGGTCACACGAGTCGTGTGAGGCCACACGACCCGTGTGAAAAAGCCGTAGCTGCGTCTATTATTTTCTCAACCCACACGACTCGTGTCACCATCCACACGAGTCGTGTCACTTCAACTGCACTTTGTTTTCGCCGTTTTTCGTCCCGATTACATTTTCAACACTTTTTCGGGCATATATCCTGCAAAACCGACGACAAAAATACCTCTATCATAGATTAATAAATGAAACAAAATGGTGCATAATCAAACAATAACTATAGCCAAGTATCACAATATATCACTCATAAGGCATGAAAATATGATGAATATCAATCGGCTAACTGAACAGAACCAAAAACCGATTTATACATATATATATTATTTAGACATATACGTTATAAAACATTAATTTGCTTCAATAATTGATGATTTTAAAGCTTCAATGATCCCTCAAATGGCACAATCAATGATTTGCACTCAAGATTGACTTTGCCACAGTCTAAGTAATGGTTCGAGCTCGAGATCTTCCTTTGAGGAGAATTTGAAATTTGTTGAGAAGATAAAAAAAGATGATAAAAAATTTGCTCTTTTGGTTTGGATAAAGAATCAAAATATTGGTTCGGTAAAAATTTGAAATTTATTGAGAAAATTAATTATTTATTGCGATTAATCGATAATTGAATCGAACCGAACTAACAGCTGGACTTTTGGTTAAAAACCGAACTGAACTATAAATTTTGGTTCGGTTTTCGGTTCTTGTAATGGACAAATCGAATTTCCGGTTAATAATATGTGTCAAACTCTCTAATTGTAAAATTAATTTACTACAACCTTGATGATTGCACTACGAGTGTATGTTGTGTTACCAAGATACATTAATTTATTCAAAAATGGAAATAATATGTGTCAATGTAATATGATGTTAAATTAAAAAATTATATATTTTAATTTATTGACATATTTTTATAATGAAATGTTATTTTAAAAAAATAATAATATTTGAAATGTGCATTATTATTAAAAATTTACACGGATGAACTCGCCTAACAATAACATAACATTTTGGTGTCATAGAAGTGGATAGTAGTTAATAGGAAAGGCAGGCAATACATGGGCTCTATAACTGAATAATGACCAACTATATAAAACATCACACGCTTCTAGAGAACTTTTGACTGAATACGAGATGTCATGTCCATAGTCTTTCATATGTTATACCTATAATTTATACAATGCATCCATCATCTTAACCAAAAGACCAATCAAAGGAGCAATAACAGACAAAAACGGAAAAGAAGAAGCCGCACCGCGTTCCGTTAACGCGTCCCGCATGTCCTGCCACTGTTAACCAAACGACCGTTAGCCACCGACCTATGCGATCACCAAGTCAAAAACCCTCCGCCAGCTACCAAATACCATCGCAAATATTAAATTTGACTTTCCAATTTTCAACAGTCAAATATTCATAATTCAAAAACAACGTTTTCCTTCTCATCCGATCCCTACCCAATCTTTTTCTCTCTTCTCCACTAACATTTCCAACCCTTTGACCCCTCCACTTCATAAACCCCGCGTCTATGCGTGTTCTCAAAAATAAACACACATACATTCATATATATAGTCACACAACAATATCTCATTCCAAATAACTTTCATACACATTTGCTTGCAAGATCTATATTTAACAACCAAGAATATACACTTATTCATCACTTTAATTTATTCACAATGACTTTCTCATGGCGCCGGAGGAGAGCAAAGCCCGACGAGCCCCGCCCAGAAGCCGACCGGAACATCACCGGCATGGAGCTCACGACAATCCCGGTCCACTTCTTGTGCCCTATCTCCCTCGACCTGATGCGCGACCCAGTGACCCTACCCACCGGAATCACTTACGATCGCGAATCCATCGAGACGTGGCTCGACTCCGGCAACAGAACATGCCCCGTCACCAACCGACTCCTTCCCGAAATCCCCGAGCCCGTCCCGAACCACTCCATCCGGAAACTGATCCAGGACTGGTGCGTCCTGAACCGTTCCTGGGGAATCGAGCGCATCCCGACCCCACGAGTCCCAGTCGCCCCTCACGAAGTCTCCGAGATCTGCTCGGCTATAGACGACTCCGTGAGGTGCGAGGACGCGGTTAAGTGCCGGGAATTGGTCGGCCGGATTAAATATCTGGCGAGGGATAGCGAACGGAACAGGCGTTGTATGATGGGGAATGGGTTGGGGCCAACGGTGGCCGGCGCATTTGATTCGTTCGCCGCCCGTTTTCCGATCGAAGGCGACGATAGACTGGACTTACTGAAAGAGATTCTCTCGGTGCTGACGTGGACGTCAGGTTCGCTGGGGGAGGACGGCGCGTCGAGGCTGAAGTCGACGGTCTCCCTACGTTGCATGGCGCGGTTTTTGAGAAATGAGGACAACCTCTCGTCGAGGCAGAACGCGATGTGCGTGTTGAGAGACTTGATGGATTTGGATCGGGATTTTGTCCGTATCCTAGTTGGGGAAATCGAGGGCGTAGAAGAGGCCGTTTTTCGAATCGTGAAAGTGCCGATCGGGTCACGGGCGACCAAGGCGGGGTTGACGGTCATCCAACGAATGATGACGTGGGCGGTGACGTCATCGTCGAAGTTCGTCCGCATGGGACTAATCCCTTCGGTTCTCGAGATAATAGTCGACGGGGACAAGAGCGCGTGCGAGAAGGCCTTGGGAGTTCTTGATACCGCATGTGGTTTTAAAGAAGGAAGAGAGATAGCGTACGAGAACGCGCTTGTGATCCCGTTGCTCGTCAAGAAGATTCTACGGGTTTCGGAGGTGGCGACGGGTTTTTGCGTGTCGAGCCTCTGGAAGCTGCTGTGTTTGGGGGAGGTGAAGGAGAGGGGTTTGGTTGAGGCTGCTGAGTGTGGGGGATTCCAGAAGCTTCTGCTTGTGCTGCAGATCGGGAGCAGTGGGGACAAGGAGAAGGTGACGGAGCTGCTGAAGGCGATGAACGCGTGTCGGGGGAAGGTGGAGTGTTTTGATTCGTCCTTGGGGTTTAGGTATGTGAAGAGGTCGTTGGACTGAATTTTTTGAGACTTAGCTAGCTAGTTCATTTTTTTTGTTAGTGGTGCGCTGTACATAAAAATACAGGAACCAAAGTATATATTAATTATTATGTGAATGATCAGATGAAAATTCTTTCAGTATTCTTGTGGTATAGATGGTTGCTATATTGTCTGTTGGGGAGAAAGAAAATGGCAGCTGGGATTTTAGTTGATTGAGCAAAATTCGTAACTAGTTGCAGTTGTTCATGTCCTAAAGCGCTGCATGTTAAATTGATGGTAGTGGTAAGCATAAGTCGGTACGGTTCGAATATGGACAAATTTCCGGAACCGTACCAAAAATCGGAGATCACTAAATTCGATCTCCGAAACCGTACTAAAAAATTGGGACGCTTCGGTTCGGAGATTTTTATTTCGGTTCGAATTTTCGGAGATTCCTAATTATTTTTTATTTTTTTTGAATGACTACCTTGTTATATTATAATTTTTATATGCTTTAAAACAATCCAACATTCATCAATATTTCATCATATTAAAGATTTTAAATAATATTTTTAAAATAGGAAAAATGCAATATTGTAGATCAAGTACTACTAAGACACACATTATTCAAGAGTTCACATTCCATATTTCCAAATACGAATCCCATAATTCACAAATCACAATTCCATACGACATATTTTTAATTTAGTTGTGAATTTTTCATTAATACATTTGTAATACCAAAAAGCATTGAACCTTTGCCTCTTCGAGCAGTGGGTATCGACGTGTCGTAGTATTATTATTGAACTGATAGATATTATGGTAAAAATATCTATCAATTTACTTTTATTTGAAAATATATCATCTTTAAGTAAATATTTATCTCCAAATTTTGTGAAAGATTTTCTTCATAAAGGCCGGTTTCCAAACATTCTAAATTTGAATTTGGTTAATACTTAATGATTTTTAATAAAATTTAACACGTTGGTTATCCAAATTTGTGATAAGAAAATAAAATTATTATTTTTTCAATCATTTAATTATATTAACATTCAATAGTGGAGGATTTTTGCAATTCAATTTTATATATAATATATGGATTTTATTTGCAATTCAACTTTAAATATAAATATGAACAAAGATGAAAAGAAAGCATTAGATTAAATATTATATTTATATGAATTTTAAGAATTAAAATCGGTTCTTGTTCAGTTCAGTTCTCGGTTCGGTATGGTTTTTTCGGTTCGGTTCTCTGTTCGGATATTTTATGAATCTCCAGAACTGTACCAAATATTTTTTTGGTATGATTCGGTTCAGATAAAGTCAAATGGTCAACGAATATTTCGTTTTGGGATGAATTAGATTCAGTTATCGAAACGGTTCGGTAATCTCCGAGTGGTTGCACCTCATTGTGCAAGATCCAACATGCAAAAATGAATAAAATAAATAAATTAAAAAATCAAGGTCTCATATTTCTAGGGATATGAAAAAAATCATGGATTTGAATCCCAGAGTATAATCGTACTTTTTTTTCATCTTCTCATTTGTTCTTAAACATGTTCTTCGATTCAGGTTGACTTTAAAGTTTAAATACATATATATTGATTCAACATTGGGGATGGAACTCAAATGTCTTCACAATCAGATTATTAAAGATTTGAGTTCAGAATAATCGAATTCGATTTTAGGTTTCTCTAATCAGTCAACTTTTCAGTTCTCACCTGTTCTAGTCACCAAAAAAAAAAAAAGACTTTCAAAAAGCAGCCATCAGACAAACAAATATATCAGAAATCAAACCACGAGTGATGCATGTATAGCATCATTTTAGTAGCTAATCTCATTTGTATAACATAGAGAAAACAATTCAGCACATATATGACACCATTAGAGTATTCTCATTAATATTATGTAAAATGATCTGTGAGGGCAAAGCACAAGTGGCAGTAAACAGAAAACCATCTTCAAAACTACAAACCACCATCTAAATTCTCCAAGCACACTACTTGGAGTATGCAAATATTGTGTTTGTATATGAAAAAATCCAATTCATACTCAAAATCCAACTCATCTTTAGTTCAACTTCATTATCCTCAATATTATCAATATAATTAAATAATACCAACTAATCATTCTCACACATCACATCAACTTAATTTACTATTTATTTCCTCACATAATTTTAACTAACCATCACTTCAAATCATCTTGGTCCTATTTTTACATCAAATCAATTTTAATTATTTTAATTTAAATATTATTTTAATATAAAATTAAAATTATACTAATAACTAATCATATCAATTTTTTTTTTTAAATTAACTCTGGTTAAACAAAAAAAACTCATTTTGACCCGAATATATTTTTGTATTATACAAACACGCTCGCTGTTTTCTTGATGGGAGCTGCCAAGTGTCTTCCAGCTGGAGGTTTGGTTTTCAAGGTGAGAATAAGTCTTGGACTTCTGACCAGATTGGTTTCGATCATGCCGAGTTAATCTCGAGTTAGCCACTCTAACCGTTGAAGCTACATTTACATATTTTCTAAGGTACACTTTAAAACGTGACAATATGACCAATGAGTTGGCATGCCCTTACAATTACTGGTACATTTCATGCATGGTTGTGTCAAAAGTTAATGAAGTTAACTGACAGGAAATAAGATCTTTGAAACGTAACAAAACAACTTTCACATTAAGAAAACACACCTTAAACTGCATATTTTTTTTACTACACCCAAGAAAATCTATCAAATAGATACATACACTTGTGAACAACTCTAATCAAAATCCAAATACATTTATCACTTCTAACATCTTAAAACATTCAGAATTTTTGCATGAAAACCAATCACTTTTCCCCTAATCCCTTTTCAACTCCTATAGAAGCCCAGAATCTCAAAATTGGAAATACATCTTT